CCGAACAATTCCTCATTTAGGAAACGGCGACGTTTAGTGCATTTAAAGAAAATTCAGCAGCTCTGGCATTTACGAATTGAATGTTTTTAATTATAGAACCTGCCGCATCGCAAGCACTACCTATATTTTTAATTAGCATTGTTATTGCTCTCTTCCAGTTCATCAAGACCAGCAACTGTTCCAATGGTAAAAATTTAACGAAAGCAGTAGAATGTCTCAGAAATCTTTCAGCTGAGACCCTATTTGACAGACTGTATGACCTGTCAGTTGCTTCAACGGCTCGACGAGAAAAACGCCTCGCATCGCTTCGTCCACCACAATGGCCCGCTCAATTTCTCAACTCTTCTGCTCAGTACTTTGAGGTCATCATGCGTCCCGTTCTTGATGGCAAGTTCTTACCGGATTGCCCGACAAACCTGCTCAAGTCCGTTAACGAGAGCCATCCGCCAGAGGCTCTGATCGGCAACGTGGACAAGGAGGGCATGTACTGGCTATTTTATGGACTCGGAATAAATGGCGTCGATTTCCTCAGTGGTGAAGGAAACGTTACTCGCCCAAAGCCTGATCAACTAAGAAAGGCCAAAATCGATTACTTCCAGCTTGTCCAGACTAAATTTATGAGTGTGGGTCATCTGGTTCCTCAATTTTCAGCGCTCACAACAGCTCAGTATGGGCTGAATAGCCCTTTCGTCACAAAATTCTTGGATTATGACACCGTTGTGCCATACAATGAAACAGGGAGCGTGACGGACTTCCTCAACCGACTCGACGATTTGAGTGGAGAAATGGACTTTGTTTGTGGCACTCAACTGTTTGCCAAACTGCTTGCCGCCATGAAGGGTGCGAAGGTGCAGTATTACATCTTCATGCACAAGACTACAAACAGTCAGTTTCCGGCATGGGTGGGTGCGATGCATGGTTACGAAATCGAGTACGTATTTGGCATGCCATATTCGAGTGAATTCCGAGCCAACTTCTACAACTTTACAGAAGACGAAAAGAATCTGAGTACGACAATGATGCGATACTGGGCAAACTTTGCGCGATCTGGGTAAGTGCAGAGTGCGTTTGATATAGAAGTCACCCGGTACAATACGCAGCGTTACAAGCATATTCATGTCTTATCGAGTAGCTGAAATGTGTCGTAACAGACTGATCAAACATCCTAATGCTATTAACCTACCAGCTGACCTGAAGCCTATGGTTGTTTTCTCGTTCAGAAATGCATCAATGAATTCCAACGGCTCTCAGTTCGGTCCGTCCTGGCCACTATATGATGGTACTTCTCAGAAGTACATGGAAATCGACTTGAAGAAACAGAAAATAAAGCACCGTCTACGCGATAAGGGCTGCACATTCTGGAATGACATCTTCCCCAGTCTCGCCAGGATTTACATGAAAATGACGATACCTTGTCGCCTAGGCTGGAACGGGTGGCCCAAGCTTTGTCCTCACCTCGAATTTGACCTCTACGATGTGGAACCACTTGAAAACTTTGTGCATGGTAATCCGTCGTGTTCATTAGTAGAGGCCTTCCCATTACCTGTCGCTCATGGCATTGAACTAAATGGTTAACCGATTTGTACCTGCCGTAGACAGGCTAGCTACGTGACAGAGCGTATAACATGAGCGCTAATTAACGCAGTACACAACAACTACCAACCCTTATCAGCGCATATTTGACAAAAACGTATTCACGCGAATCTGTGTCGAATGCAGTATTTAACAGGTCTCGCTGTCATTTGATTTGTTGCAATCGTGGATAGTAGATTTTTGCTGTTGTCATTTGTGTAGCATTTATCCCAACGTTCGGATTGTGGTATCTTGGTTCAGCGAGACAGCCTCCTGGTCTGTTTTGATTTGATTGCGAATACAATTGTAAAATCTGTCTTTTAGGTAATGCCTCCGGTCAACCGACGCCCAGTTCTGCTCAGTGTCTTGCAACCATTTGACTCTATTGCGCGTTAATCCTTTTGCACCAGGACGTTAAATCATTTATGCCTTCATTCCTGCCTATTCTGTTTCATAATTGAAATCGTGCTGTCATGTGTTTACACCTGGTAACATTCCTTATGGTTGTTTACAAATATTTTCAAATTCCCACGTACCATCCATTGCTACGTAAGTTGTCACACCAAGTTATTCACCCAGCACAGTTCTTGTTCTGTTAGGATCTTATTGTGGCGTAATTCAGGTGCAGTCTCTTTGACCACTTGGATGATAAAAGGGCAGAATGACGATTCAAATAGGGCTGAACGTTCAGTTGCGTAGCGTGATTTGTTAACGTCGTGTTTGGGTGGGTAAGCAAATATGTGCATTGGGGTGGCGACGTGATCACTGAGGCATTTCAGTGTGTGTCGGGGATCAAGGGACTTTAGGTGGTGAGGCGGGGTTTCTCGTTCCAACAAACATCTGGAGATCAGCATGTGGTGGCAGGCAACTACAGTCATCTGTTCACACATGACTGCAACCTAGTTATCCCACACTGTAAATTTGCTCCCGTAATCTGAACACCTATTGTTTCCTAATTTTTAGGATTTATTTATATATACCCTCAGTTGAATATTCTTGGCTTTTAAGAGTTCAAGTGAGGAGTGCTGTTGTGGTGGCACAGCTAAATTATAGTAACCTGGTACTGATGCAAAATAGTACCATTTAAAGTATCCTATCAAATAAACGAGTGGACGAAATACGCTCACACAAGGTAAGCTTCTTTGTCGCAAGCACTGCGGTAGGTTCTTTTTGAAGAATTATTCAATGTCAAAGACAGAATCAAGAAGTAACTTTAATACTTGAGCAATTTCCAATATAAGTCCCGATTTCCACGACCGACTGGTTGAGAACAACGCTTTCGTTTGTAACACATTAGAAGTCAACAAATTTCGCTTGAGCCTATTAAACACGGCTATGAAAGGGAAAGAAGTACTTTTCACGATGTTGAATCCCACAAGATTCGAGTTCTCCAAAATAAATAAATCAAGACAAATGTATCCTGAAACTTGCTAATTTGTCATTAATTAATATCACGTCCCAAATGGTCTACTCTCTCTAGCGATGAAATAAATAGTGCTACACATGCTAGAATTAATTGCTAGTCCACAAGTAAAAATGCTTTGATTTATTCTTCCCTATTGCTAAAGCATACTTTAGTCTCGCTTAAATTTACCTTTTTATATGTTTGTCATTGGCTTGAAACCAAGGATATGCCCTCATGAAAATCCAATTGAGTTGTTATCCCTAATGTGCAGTTCAAAATTCTTGAAGTAACAGAATGATTTTCAAAGTCTGAATCCGGTTTTTTAGTTAAACGGAATAAATATGTTGAATTATATAGAAAATACCGCCTTGCCCTGGCATCATAAAAGCGCCCAGAACCTTAAAAATCAAGTCTATCATTTCTGGCAGGGGTTGACTGCAATCGATTAGAAAATCACATGTGATAAAACTAAATGATCGTTGACCAATTTATAAAAGATACTTTTCTAAACGCACTAATGTTTGTTGCTGACAATGCATGGCCCCAATGTTTCCTGGTAATTAACTCCCATTATCCTAAAATACGAACATAGCTGGAATACACGCCTGGATGTCAAGTGGGGTGTTTCGTCACATCTTCACAATGAACTAACATTGCCTGCCCGTATTAATGGGGGTTATAAGTTATAGTGGAAGCAACTGCTTAAATCCAGAAATTAATATATAACGGTGCAGCAAGTTGAAAAAATCTCGTCTTGCCACGTTGCGGAGGCAAGGAGCCTAATGAGTATGCAAGCATGATAAACTGCTGTAAGATTTGACGAGAGCTGCAGTCAAATGGGTGGATATTTTTGTTACCATAGACGCGTATGAAATGTGTTGGCAGATACGTAACGGATTAACAGCGATCATGCCGGAGTGAACTCTGTTTACTAACCTGATCATGTTGATGACTCATGGCCTTTTCATTGGTTACTGTTATTTGACGCCTGTCATCCGCTCACTCATCCACACTCTCAAACACACTTGGTTAGCATGACGCTAACAATCGGTCGTGCTCTCTTTCGCCTCTTGTTCTATTCCTATCAGGTTGTCACGGGCTGTTAACTAGAGGGTTGTAAGGTAGCGCTAAAACATAAGCTATTACATTTGCAGCCTCAGATCGATATTCCCCAGGGGAATCCAGATACCTTGACTATGTTTCACAATTCACAACCAATATTCGCCACGTTGGTGGGACTGAGTTCGTCGTGGCTTATGCGCTGTCCTGAGCATATATATAAAACTTTTCAGTTCCTGGTACCGATCCTCAACAGTTAGCTGCAGCGCAGATGGATAACCCTGAATTCAGAATAGTTTCGATGAAATCCTAGTTTAGAGGTGGAAGAGCTGTCACTTCCCCATTGTCCTAAAAAAATTTACTTGTGATACATTACTTGGCAGACTGCAATCCTTTGTTCCTGCCCCATTTAGAAAACAAATATTTGAATATCTTCATCCTCTTTCACATCCTCGTGTTCGGGCCACCGTGCGTTTGGTTACTGACCGCTTTGTTGGGCCTTGCATTCACAAAGATGTTTGCTTATAGGCTGTACTCTGTATTCAATATCAATTCAGCAAAGGCCATAGTATAATTTTAGAAAAATCGGATGCAACGCCAAAAACGGTAAAAGGAAAATCCAATTTCAGGCATAAATAATTATTAATTCTCCTGGCTAAACCAAAGGTCTGATGTCTATAAAAGATCATTCTCCCAACGAAGTTCTCATTATTTTCTATAATCGCATTATTGTATACTTACAGTCACGGATCATCTTGAAAAGTGACATTTTAATTGTACTCATCATTTGACTACCCTTGACTGTAAAGTGTATGGTGGGTGTGCAAGACTTTTGTGAAGGCACGTAAAACACATAACCAGGTCAGATACTAGGTTGGATAACATGTCAAGGTGACAGAAAATGCTTGGTTAAGTAAATTTTCCTACTGTTATCATGACTGTCAGCATCCATATTTGTGGCATAATAAGTTGTTCTGGTGTCAGAAATAATTACCTATTAATTTCCATATTATTTTTAAATACAATATATTTGACAAATTATAATGCATGCTTTAAATTCATAGCAATAATTGCAATTAATTTTTAACAGAAGGTTGTTTCCAAGAATTGCATTAAGTGGCTGATTGATTTGATCCAGTCGCTCAAGGTTGTGTAAGCGTCAGCGCGGCTACTCATATTTTTACACTTAATCACACCGAAGAAAATAATTAATTGGAATGTAACATTTAGTGGTTTTAGATTTAAAATATAAACTCGTGTTTGCAGAGTCATTGAATCTATATTACCGTATATCCTTTCTTGTGTGGGCGTGATTTGAGTTTCCTGTTCCTTATTCCGCAGCTGTTCTGTACGATAACACATGCAAGATATGGCACACGATGCAGCACAATATATAAGGGAGCTAGTTGAAGAGAGCAGTGATCGATGCAAAAATTTGAAATATGTATCTTCTGAGGTGTTTTTAATTTTATTTGTACTATGCGACGCGGAAGAGTTCTGTAAGGTTACTGAGTCTACCCACTTGCATCGTGTAGTAGCATGATGGTTAAGTGACTTCTAGATGTTTGCGATTTATACATTTGCAAATTTCATTATGGTACGCATGCAATATTTCATTTTTTAAGGTATTTGAGTGAACATATTTCAATTTCTAATGACCAAATTGCAGGGTCAATATCCGAAATTATGACGTAATTTCTAGTAGCCAACCATACTACTTTTCTACTTCAAGAGTAAACCTACGGTTTGATGTTACTCGTGTGCAACTCATTTTTTGTCAAAATTGACCCATCACGTCAGGTAAGGTGTTATAATCAGAATCTGTGCAACATTTTGAGCGTTTAATTTGTGTTTAACAAAAACTACGAACAGTTCGCTGAATTTAATACACTTTTGCAAAATTAACTTCGTTGCAGCCCTAAAAATGTGTGGCGAAACCACGGTTTTATTATAAATGGCATTAGGTTTTTATCCATTATGACGATAAAGCACACGCAATTTAGTGTGTAAACAAAATCGTTAATTTACATACAAATTTGATTTTGTGTGTAACTGCATCCTCTATGTCTTTAGTACATAAATATGGTATAAGTTTTGACAACGACGTGACGATGTTATGTGTAAATAATAGGAAGTCGTGTTAACAGTTAGAGTTAATTAATTATTCAAATTAACAGCTCTTTTGATGTGAGCTAATGCCGTTTGGCCTAGAAACAAAAGAAACAATTAGCTACGAAACCTCGCCGTAGTCCAAGAACAACCTTAAATTTTACAAATTGACTTGGTTAAATTAAAAAAATATGTGTCGTAGCACAAAACACAATGCGTACCTAAGAAGGATTAAGACAGAAAAGAGACAATAAGACAACTATTCATTCGAGAGCTCGACCAAGTCGTCCCCAATTTGTGTCCGTGGTTGTGCTGCGTCGTGTTTGGCGTTTGCCCATGTGTATTTATAGCTCAGATGTGTGAAATTGCGTCAGTAATAAATGGGCTAAAATCGAGACCTAGGTGGGCGCCATTATACAACAGAACAGGCTTTATTGACAAATCACAATCCAAAACTCTACTTCAAGCCCCATCCATCCAAATTTGCAACGCTAGCTGGGCTAATTACTTAAGACTGCTTCTCATACGTATCTGCCTCCGGTTGGCTGCATATTTCTCGCTGGCCATTCAACCACAAAAAGACGGAGAATTGGCTAAGTCCGGCATGGTTCAATATGTCTTACGCCCTTACACGTCGCTACACCATCACACAAAGTAATGATCCCGAATGCTTGTTTGCGCTAATAAGGAGTGAATTGAGGTGTAGCTCGGCTGATGATGTGTTGTAAAATGGAGGGAGGCTGTGTGTCCGACAATGGAGCAACCGGATCAACGAGCGAGATACAACACGATTCACATTAGCTCTCT